AAAGTGAAACCTATATTCTTGTAGATTTTTAATACTAAATAAATTAACAATGTATTAAATTATTACCATTTGAAATGAGGTAATAATATGCTTTTAAGATATTCAAACATAACAAAAACCTTTTTTTGTTTCTACGGGTTTTGTTTATTAATTTACGATGACGACGAGGAACTAAAGTGGCTTTTTGAGTATGTGTTTTCAATTTGAGATGTGATTGATGGTGTAAAGTCACTTAAGTCGAGGCGAAATTTAGTTTGTGTGCTCTTTTTAAGAATTTATTATAATGTGTTTGTGTGTCAAGTGTATAATAAATTAATTACCATGTCCATTTTAAAATGTAAGCACCCTTCGTACCGTAATATTTTAATGGAATTATGTGGTTTCGTTAAGATTAAAGGCGAAATGTGATTTCATTACTAAAGAAGCAATGGCTGAAGTACAACGTCGTCATTGCGTAACATACTCTAAATTAGAAATCCTATGGGAGTTTTTAAATTCCAATAGGGATGTTGCAGTGAGCAGAAACAGAAACAGAAACAGAAACTTTTTTATTCAATATAGATTATAAATAATACTTATTGAAAGTCACTCTTTTGTTTGATTACCACTGGTTCGGAAAAAACCTCTGTCCTGGAAAGAACCAGCAAGAAACCCAGCGGGACTTTTTTTTTAAATAACAGCTTACAATCATGATGTTACACAAATTAACAACACAACAAATTAGAAATAGCTTGGTAGCGATCACCTCATTTCCAGGGGTTATTATCATCCATAAATTCCTTAATATTATAATAACCCTTTTTATACAAACTTAGTTTAATAAAGTTTTTGAACTTTGAACAGGTCAAACTTTGTATATTTTCTGGAATTTTGTTGTAAAAGCGTATACATCGCCCCAAGAATGAATTACTGACTCGATGGAGTCGAGTAACTGGTACTACTAGCTTGTGTCTGTTCCTAGTATTTACAGAATGAATATCACTTATTTTTGTAAAACTACTTTTATTTTTGTGTACGTACATTACATTTTCATAAATGTATTGAGAGGCCAAAGTTAATATATTAATTTCCTTAAATTTTTGTCGCAGCGTCTCTTTAGGCTTTAAATCATAAATTGCTCTTATGGCCCTCTTCTGCAAAACAAATATAATTTCAGTGTCAGCTGCGTGTCCCCATAGCAAAATACCATACGACATTATGCTATGGAAGTAGCTGAAGTAAACTAGTCTAGCTGTTTCAACACTGGTTAAACTTCTAATCTTTTTTACAGCATATGCTGCAGAACTAAGTCTGCTTGCTAGTTTTGATATATGGGGGCTCCATTGAAGCTTCGCGTCTAGTGTGATTCCAAGAAAAATGGTGGTATCTACAAGACTCAGTTTCTCCCCATTTAAAATTACATTAGTATTTAATTGTTTGACATTTGGAGTCACGAATTTCATACATTTTGTTTTAGTGCCATTTAAATGCAAATTATTAACATCGAACCAATTTACTAATTTAGAGATAGCATTATTTACTTCGTCATATTTTAGTAGCTGTCGACTTAAATTGAAAATTAAAGAAGTGTCATCTGCAAATAATACTATATCATGGTTATCCCCTACTATGTAAGGTAAGTCATTAATGTATACAAGAAACAGAAAGGGGCCGAGAATTGAGCCTTGAGGCACGCCCATTTGTACCATCGATCCGGAAGAGTTAATTTGTTGTCGATTGTTAATGACAACTTTTTGCGTTCTCTTACTTAAATATGAAATAATTAATTTAAGGGCATCACTTCTTACACCGTAGTGTTGAAGTTTCCTGATTAATGTTTCATGGTGAACACAATCGAAGGCCTTGGATAGGTCACAAAATATACCCAAAGCATCCTGTGAATTCTCCCATGCATTAAAGATATATTTAATCAGCTCAACACCGGCATCAGTTGTCGAGCGACCCCTTGTGAAACCAAATTGATTTTTATGAAGTAAATTATTTATATTAAAAAAATTTAACATTTGAACAAGAACAATTTTTTCAAAAATCTTACTAAGTGTTGTTAGTACAGAAATAGGTCTAAAATTGGCGGGGTCTAATGTACTACCAGATTTAAATAAAGGTATTACTTTACTATGCTTCATTAAATCAGGAAACACACCAGATTCGATACTAGTATTAAAAATAATAGCTAAATGAGGCGCGATTGTATCTATTATAGACGCAATAACTTTAACGGAAATCCCCCACAGATCCGCAGTTTTCTTAACATCAATAGTTTTAAAATATTTTACAATATCTTTTGATGACACTTTATGAAATGTAAAATTCTTTGTACACACATTTACATTTTGTTTAAGTAATGATTCGGCGACGGCAGGAGAAGAATTCAGTGACTTAGTGGTCAAGATCGGAATATCAGTAAAATATTTCTCAAAAACCATTGCTACGTCCTGATCTGATACAGTTAATTTGTTGTTAACATTTAACTGGTAATTTGAATTGCGAGAGTTGATCTTACCAGTTTCGCTATTAATTATACTCCATGTCATTTTAATTTTATTGGAAGCCGTCTTAATTTTGTTGCTCAAATGCAAAGACTTGGCTATGGAGCACACTCTTTTAAATATTTTTGAATATTTTTTTACATATTCCCTAAATTCGACGCTATGATTATATGACCTTTCATGGTAAAGATCATATAACCTATGCCTGCTCTTATGGACTCCTACTGTCGCCCATTCATTGAATGACTTCCGACTGTTCAAGGAGAATGTTTTAGAAGTAAAAGTATTATTAAATTCATTGCAAATAAGCTTAAATAATGTTCCATACATTAAATTAGGATCATTTTGGTATGAAAGTGATGGAAGTTTTTTCACTATGTTACTTCTAAATTTCTCCAAGCGACGTGCATTTACTGGAACAGACACAACTTTCTCATCTACTTGCTTTTTGTGAACATAAGGTAACGAAACTACTTGTCCACAGTGATCAGAACTTAATTTTTGAATTATACATTTATGCAACGGCTTCACATTTGTAAAAATGTTATCTATACATGTTGCACTAGATTGAGAAATACGCGTTGGCTCTATAAATAAATTAAAAAGACCATATGATTTAAACAATGATCTAAATTTAATATTGATGGAGGAAGCTTCTAGGAGATTGATATTAAAGTCTCCACATATTACAACAGATTTATTCTGTTTATTAAGCTTAGCAAAAACTTCCTCCATAATGTTTTCAAAAGTATCATATGTACAACATGGGGGTCTGTAGACGCTCACAACAATGAGGTGCTCAAACTCAACACATGCCATTTCTACAGTTCGCTCAACAGAGAGGCTCACAATGTCTTTACGTTCTTTACATGATAATAATTTACTAGCTAATATTAAGGAGCCACCTCTTAAAACCGTATCTCTATTGAAAGAACTGACCACCTGGTGATTACTGAAGTTAAACATTAAATTATAAGCTTTTAACCAATGTTCAGTAATACATAAGATATGAATATTGTTGCTATTTAAGAACAACTCAATTTCTAGCTCTTTGCCTATCATGCCTTGTATATTTTGATGCACCAGGTGTAAACAATTTTCATTATTACTCTGTGGAGTCATACAATTAAAGATTTGTAAGCTACATTCTAAATTATTTAAGTTATTATAACTGCTAGAGATTACCTCTATTGTCTCATTTTCTAATTTAAATTACTTGGAACTGATTCCAAATGGCATAATAAGTCATTACACTGCTCAAAAGAAGCAGATGTCTGTGTAGCCAAGTCCTTGGCTGAGTTAATATATAAATAATAAGATAGCACATTTGCTATTTGTCTTAAATTATATTTTGATAGGTAATACCTATCTCTAGTCAAAAATTTCTTAATTAAATTATTTATATCTATTAAATTAATTCTATCATTATAATTGTAACAATTAAATGTCAAGTTTAAATTATTATTACATGAAAAATTATTCATTAATAAATTTAAATCATATCTTATTTTATTTTCCTGCGGCCAACCCTGTATGTAAGGCAATGTAAACAAGATAATTTTATGTACATTTAAAGTATTTAGATTATCAATATATTTTAATAATTGATTTTTGTTTACATTGCCTCTTCTCCCAACAAGAATTATTAATGTGCTATTAGGACAAAATTTACTAGTTAAAACTTTATTCATTATATGACTAAAGGATGCTCCAGGCATGCAATAATTAGTGATCATATGTCCTTTTAAACAGTTATTTAACATCATGCCCAAATTTTTGCCTATGTCATCACAATACATAATAACTTTATTATTTTTAATATTTACATTGCTTTTTAAGTTTATATTCTTTGTCATGGCACTGTCATAGAGTGTAGGTGAAAATAATGAGGTCTTACTGTTAACTTTATTATTTACACATATTGTCCCCGATGAACCTGGTATGGAGCGCTGATACTCACTCTGATTTTTTATTAAGGAGTCAAAGCGCTCCTCATTATATTCACATGATTTTACCAGATCATTCATGGCCAATATGTGTTCTTTTATCTCATCTTGAGCCGATGCATATTTATTTGATACAATTTCTAGAGAGCTTTTAAGTGATAAAATTGTTGAATTTAGACACTCTATATCAGTCTCATAACAGTGATTCATATTTTCCACCTCAATTGAATATATTTTAAGTTTATTAATTAGGTCTTGCTTTTCTTTGCATACATTTATATAATTTTTAACATTAATTTTAGTTTTTGAGCTTTAATAAAAGTGCACCAGCTCGAGAAACTTCTCGCCGCATGTGGGAGGAGGTAGCCCAAACCCTCAATTAATTTGGAGATGGTGCCGTTAAGGACGGAAAAGGCAGGTCTGCCGTAAGTATTATATGAGTAAATATTTATCATTTTAAATTTTTTTTTGTCTATGGACTGTTGAAGTTGAAAATGCATATTATTTATATGAATATTCAAAATAGCTTTCATTTTTCCAGTAGTGGATTGATTACAAGGGGAAGCTGAAGAAGCGGTGTGCTACTATTAGATCTGCGCAATCTCGAACTGATGGAGAGCCATCTAATGTTCCACAGCTGTCGACTTTAGAAAAGAATTTTTTAAATATTGTAGGTGAAGATTTTGGTTTGGGCCTTTCTGGTATTCGTGTAAATCCATTTGAAGATTCAAATATTCATGTAAGTTTTTTCTTGTATCTCATTAAACCATGGGGTGGCCAAAGCTTAAATTTTATTTGACTTAAGCTAAGATATCTATCTTCGCGATAACTTATTTAGTTATTTGTAGATATATTGATTAAATTTCGTGCAATGTACACAAATTCTGCTGCATGCATTTTGTAGCGACAAAAGAGTTTAATTCGTAATGATAATTGCTTCATCACATTTTATATTATTTACAGGCTGCATCGACTTCAGATATGTCCCAAATACCTCTACAGGAGGTCCAACAGTCCTTGGAACAAGAAGTTGTTCTTAATACCATTGAAATCATTGAAGGTGTTAATCTCAGGAGTTCACTGGTTCAAGAGCAGCAACAGCTAGAGACTGAAAGTGAACCACCAGTACTTGTAGACGTACATGCTCCTGAGCCTTGTATATCTCATACTGCACCTACAAGTACTCCAGAGGCACATCCCACACAAGCGGTTTCTGTTGCACCAACTGGAGGTGAACATCAACAAAGAAGACGACGCAATCGACGTGTGCGTATTACTCAGGAAGAAGCAAGAAGAGCCTTGGTTGAAACGTCCCAATTGCGGGCTGAAACGGAGGCTCGTAATAGCCGCAATATTACGGAGTTCGTGCAAGTTCTTCATCGAATTCAAGATGTTTTGGAACGCATTGAGAGAAGGTTGCTTAGAAATATTTATGTTGTACATAGAATAAATTAAGTTAAGGGTAAATCAGTACTAAAAATTTTAACAGTTAAATTAACAGTTTCACTGCTGACAGGGATGGAACCCAAATTGTTTGCTTACATATTGTGAAATATTCGGCAAGCGCTTAGTCTCAGAGCTATTAAGGCTCTACAATTTTTAACTGATTCCTTAAATGGTTATAAATTTGCACTGTTTGATGATTATTATAAATTACGATAGCAAAATAAATTCGAGAATAAGTCCAAAATCTCCACATAGATATAAAAAAGTAGAAAGAGTTTTTAGTTTGTATAATATTTAAATTTTTGAAAATAGTAATAATATTAATATATTTATTTGTTGATCATAATTCATAAGTATGTCATAAAAGATGTTAAAAATTGCGTTATGTCCTATATGATCTATCATTTATTGGCATAAAAATATCTAAGTAGAATAAATTGTTCGAATAATTGCATAGATTATACGTAGGTCACTCAATAAGTTTTGAAATATACAAAAAGTATTCTAGATACTATTAATATTTATTTTACATCTTTTCAAAATATTCTCTATAAATCTAATAGAAAAATTTAAACAAAAAAACCATAGTTTTAAAATCAAATTTATTTTCAGGTTGCCCTCCAACATATCCATGGGTGATTGATAAGGTTAACTTCTGACCGTTATGCCTTCTCGGAGCTCTGGATTTTGTGCGGCCCTAGAATTTACTACAGAATCCTGGCAGGGAGAAGTTAATCGTTGCGATTCATGCTCATACAAAGCTACCTCTGGCTGCAGCTCTTCTACACTGACATTAGTCTTATTGCATATGTTGCGCAATATCACACATGCATTTATAATAGAAGCCACCATGTGAGGCTCATAATGTAACACTATGCACTAGGAGACATCTGAAACTGGCAATTATGTATATTATGTACCTATCTATTTATTATTATGTAAAGTCATTACCAAGAAGCATATCGTCTCGTTTGTACCGAGGCCTTCCATGTGTGCCTTCAAAGGGTGATTAGCCCATATAAAAGCATCATGTGAAGCTCGCCAAACTTGCGTCTACACTGATTATATCCATGTCTATATTGCATATCTAAAATATTAATTCAAATATATACTTAGTGTTTAAATGATTTATGTATCAATAAAATGACATTATTGAATTTGTGGTTTTATTACAATATTTCTTACCAACTGCACATTTAAAGAATGATAGGTACTGTTTTCTACAGTAATGTCTCTCTTCATTTTGTGAAGGACGGACCATTGCCACATATGTAAAATCAATGCAGCCTAAATCTCCAGGCATCTCTAATTTGTTGTAAAATCTACAATGTCATATTAATTATAAATCTTTGCTGAGCTTGCTGCATGATATAATGGTAGATATTATTAATGTTCAATGGTTCTAATAATAGAAGTTGTTGTTATAATCAATTAAAATTATGTATTAAATTTGTACTTATATGTACAGCAAGCAGCTCTTGGAAATCTTATATATATATATATATATATATATATATATACTGTAAAAGAATATAAAAAATATTCAGTACGAATTTTTGTTAAAACTGCCTTAAATACACATCACTTTTAGTAATGTTTTACTAGTAATTAATGTTTTAATTAATACTCAACCTTGGTTTCGATCGACAAATCAGTAAACTTAGCAGGCTTTGTCATACAAGGTCTTAAATCATCACAATGTTCCATCACTAAGTTTTTGCTTAAACTATATCGTTTTACAAATTCACCGTCACCGATCGAAAACGGGTCGATTTAGCTCCGTAATATTGTTCTTTCAATTTTGTCCTCCACAATTTACTTTCATTGTACTCTTTGAGGAATTCAAAAGTTTCGTAATCATTAGACACTGAAATTAATGCACAAAGAACAATTAGAGAATTTTAATATGTATATTATGTAAATAATATAACAATTTTAAAGCAAGAACCCCAATTAAGCATGTATAACTTCAAGAAACACTTTTAATACTTACTATTATACTATTAGAATATTTAACGATTCAGAAAAAGCTCCCACCAAGCAACTTTTATTGAAGTGTTTAATATGACAGATACACTGTTCAATAAACGGGTCACAACTCTGTTATAAACGTCAAAAGTGAGTTCATAGTACCGATTTAAAACGTTGAGCTAGCTTGCCGGCCACTGAAATGTTTCGTTACGTCATCACAGGTTGGCCTGCAATAAGACGCGTTCGTAGTACGACAAAGCAAGGCAATTCAGTTTACGGTCTTAAACTGACCGGCAATAAGACTTCGTAGTAGGCCCCCAGGTTATTGGAGTTTAGACATAATATTGCAAAGCTATTGCCTTGTTTGTAGAATGTGAAGGTAAATAATGTCTTCTTATTAGAAAAAAATGTTTATATTACGAGTAGATTGTTTAATTTTTTTATATAAACCAATGTACCTTAGATAAATTTTAATAATTTAAAAATTGTAAATTCATTATATCCACCTCAATTTTATGTTATAGTTAATAATTACTACCGCTTTGTATTTAATATTTCAGAAAGTCGGTACATAAATGTTATAACAACATTTTGGTGTTGGAACAAAAAGTGACAGGTAACGAACATTGTTTTAAAATTATTGTAATTCTTATTTAATATCATTCCTTTTATAATTTTAAAGATCAGAAACAGAAACAGAAACAGAAACTTTTTTATTCAATATAGATTATAAATAATACTTATTGAAAGTCACTCTTTTGATTGATTACCACTGGTTCGGAAAAAACCTCTGTCCTGGGAAGAACCAGCAAGAAACCCAGCGGGACTTTTTTTTTAAATAACAGCTTACAATCATGATGTTACACAAATTAACAACACAACAAATTAGAAATAGCTTGGTAGCGATCACCTCATTTCCAGGGGTTATTATCATCCATAAATTCCTTAATATTATAATAACTCTTTTTATACAAACTTAGTTTAATAAAGTTTTTGAACTTTGAACAGGTCAAACTTTGTATATTTTCTGGAATTTTGTTGTAAAAGCGTATACATCGCCCCAAGAATGAATTACTGACTCGATGGAGTCGAGTAACTGGTACTACTAGCTTGTGTCTGTTCCTAGTATTTACAGAATGAATATCACTTATTTTTGTAAAACTACTTTTATTTTTGTGTACGTACATTATATTTTCATAAATGTATTGAGAGGCCAAAGTTAATATATTAATTTCCTTAAATTTTTGTCGCAGCGACTCTTTAGGCTTTAAATCATAAATTGCTCTTATGGCCCTCTTCTGCAAAACAAATATAATTTCAGTGTCAGCTGCGTGTCCCCATAGCAAAATACCATACGACATTATGCTATGGAAGTAGCTGAAGTAAACTAGTCTAGCTGTTTCAACACTGGTTAGACTTCTAATCTTTTTTACAGCATATGCTGCAGATCTATTCTATTATTCGGATTTTTACATTCTTTGCGGGTTTCTTTTCGAATTGTTTTAACGATAATTTGATTTGAGACTTGTAAATAAAAAAAAACAACAACAACTCGATATTAGTTTACTCTGCTCCTTCTGTTTTCGATCTTTGTTTTCTTTTATTATTTATAATAAATAGTAAAATGAATACTCGCAACGCCAAGACGCGCCAGATGGAGAACCAACTCCAGCTTGCGCTCCAAGAACTTAAGGCGTCCAGGGAGCAGTGTGAACTGTTGCTTAAGGAAAGGGATGATAATGAAAAAGAAATAGTTAGCATAATTGCCAAAAACACAATTAAAATGTGATATGGTTAAGTTAGATACAGAATACACAAGTGTTAATGAGTTTGACCGATGCAGCAAGGAATATGAGGAAGCTCTCAGATTCATTGCTGCATTGAAGTTACAGTTGAATGAGGCTAATGAGCAAATAATACAATTTAAAATATATATAGATAATCTTAACTCCTCCCAGACTCAAAGCCTGTTCTCTGAGCTTGTGCAATGTAATACTTCAAGAATTTTACAGCAATCTGCAAAAATAGATTTGACTGGTGACGACTCTTCCACTTCAGGAAACTCAGTCAGGATTAATTGCAGTAAAACCAAATTGAAGAAGTATATAAAAGTTAATAAATACATAAGGAAAGTACAAAAATTAATAAAAAATAAGATTAATACCAAAAGTATGTTAATTTATGTAAACAAAAGCAAGCATTGATATATGAACTTAAGTTGTATATATTGTATTGTAATGTGCGGTGTTACCATGGCCGACCGAAAGCGAAACGTAGAGATTCGCAATATGGCAGGTTTGAAAGATGACCTTATCACAAAAATTGATAAGGGCGTGCTTCGGTGGTTTGGGCACGTTGAGTGAATGAGTGAAGACCGATTGGTGAAGAAAATATATAGCGCGAAAGTTAATATTAAAAGGTGTCGAGGTAGACCGAGACTAACATTCGAAAACCATGTGAGCAAATTGCTCGAAGAGGGTAGGGTCAAGAGTACTCGGATACCTAGACGTGCATGTATGAAGAAGATAATGAATCTGAAAGAAGCGAAAGAGGTATGTAAGGATCGTGACAGTTGGCGATCTGTTCTCTCTGGCTAACCCGTCAGGGATTGTGCGTGAAGATAAGTAAAGTAAAGTAAAGTAAAGTTGTATTCAATTGAGGTGGATAACATAAGAAAATGTTATGAGACTGACGTAGAGTGCCTTAAATCAGAAATATTATCTCTTACAAATTCCCTTCAAACTGTATCCAATAAATATAAATCAGCCCAAAACGAAATAAAAGAACACATACTGGATGGATAATCTGGTAAAGACATGTAAATACAATGAGGAGCGTTTTGACTCCTTAGTTAAACATCAATGTGAGTGTCAGCATTCAATACCAGCTTCTTCAGAGTCGGTGTGTGCTGATAATATTATACCACCACCAAAACTCTATGACAGTGCCATAGCAGAGGAGCTTAAAATAAAAAATAACTTAAATATTAACAAAAATAATATAATTGTGTATAGCGATGACATAGGAAAAAATCTAGG